TCAAGAGCTCCTCCTCCTGAAGCATCCAATGGAATGTGTTCCTAGTGAACAAAAAGAGACATTTACAGAGCATTCCAATCAATGCCTCTCTTACGGTAGACATCTTTATTTGTAGGTGTGGCTTAATGAGGTAGGCGTGGTTTGTTGCAAGGAAAGAGGAGTGGCTGGTAATGCCAAAGGTTGTGCTGCTGTTCACTGGAAAAAGGAAATCAGGGAAGGACTATGTGGTATCCAAACTGAAGGAAATGTAAGAGAAGGAACTAGTGGAACTGCTTCACATAATGGATCATGATTTTAATGATTGAGATTATTAATAATTCTTTTTTAACATTTTTAGGTTAAAACCAGAAGACTGCAGCATCATCAGATTATCAGCTCCACTGAAGAAACAATACTCCATTGTAACAATAAATAAATAAATAATAATGTAATAATTAATATTTATAATTAATAGGAACATAATTTAGATTATGATAGGCTGTTGGACTCTTCTCCTTATAAGGAAGCTCATCGTCTCCAGATGATCCAATGGGGAGAGAGGAAAAGGGAGAGTGATCCGGGGTATTTCTGTCGCTTAGCAACAGAGGAAGAGGACAAACCGGTTTGGTTGGTTTCAGATTGTCGGAGACTGAGTGACGTAGAGTATTTCAAATCTCATTGCTCAACTGGCCCCGCCCACCCTTCGTGTGTGTTGGTACGAGTATCAGCTAGTGATGAGGTGAGGAGGTCCCGTGGGTGGGGCTGGGTGGGTGGAGTTGATGATGGTCCCTCGGAGTGTGCGTTAGATGAGGTGTCATGTGACTATCATGTGATTAATAATGGAATAGATGAACAACTGGACATGAAACTGAAAGAACTGAAAAATTTCATAGAATATAATAATAACGGTTGATATCAAATGATTTTAACAAAATTTATTAATGTTTTTAAATTTTAATGTAAAATGGGGGCGTGACTAGCTCTTAGACTGTACATGACAAGATGAAACGAGGGAGAGGTTCTACTAAAAACAAAAGTAACAAAAAGAAGAAGCACTCTAAAGGCGACACTGCTAACAGATCAAAGTGTCTAGGTAAAGGTGCTATGATACATGCCCCAATCAGTTAATGGAAGAACTACACAGCCAAGAATTTTAATTGAATCATGACTGATAATCAGGCATGATCAGCCTGATGCATTCCTGTATCATTGATGGATTTTTGGCAGTCTGCACAGCAAGCAGTCTAGTATAATACAATCATGATGATCATTCATGATACAACCATGCTGAAGGACAACCCTGGTTCAGAAATGATTCAACATTGATGCCAGTCTGCCCAGTCAGGGCTGTATCAAAATAGACATCAGGCTTC